GCCAAGTAAAGTCGTACAGCATCTCCAAAGCTAGGTTTCGATGGAGGGGGCCTTTCCGTAGGTGCATTTTTAGCCCTTGAAAGGCCTCTTCACACTCCTCCATCTATTGGAACTTCTTTTTCCATTTAAAACATTAAAAAAATGGTGACATTTGCCAGTGGCTTTTAAATGAAATGACTTATAGCCTCCATAGACCTATTAGGCTTTATACCTCTTTTAGCCTTTGCGGGACCTCATCTATATCAAGGTTCGAATTTCTTTAGGGCTTGCTTTTATGCAAAGGTAACACCAAATTTACATTTAAGGAATTCAGCTTCATCCTATACCTCTGTAGGATTTGAAAAGTCTCGTTCAGATGTGCCACATGGTCATTTGCCTTCAAGCTTTTGGCGATCATGATGTCCACATAGACTTCCATTATCTTGCCAATGAGGCTGGACAAACATTTTTTTGACAGTCTTTGATAGGTAAACCACCATTTTATAGCCTGAAGGGCATCTTCTTATAAGACCCCTATTATGATGAAATAGGTGTTTTCTTCATCGGTCAGGTGCATAGAAATTTGATTATGACCCGAGTAGGCATCCATAAAGCTTAGAATTCATGCTTAGTTGTGGAGTTCACCAGTTGGTCTATTCGAGGAAGGAAAAAACTATCTTTAAGGTAAGCCCTATTGAGGTTGAAGAAATCAATGCACACCCTCCATTTTCCATTATGTTCCTTTACCAAAATTAGGTTGGAGACCAGGTAGATGACCTTTGTGATGAAGCCATCCTTCATCTATTTCGACACCTCCTCTTTTAGGGCTTTAAATCTTTCTAGTTGAGGACCATTCTATTTTGTCTATCCACGACAGTTGTAGGATCAATTTTCAGGGAGTAGCAGCTGACCTTGGGATTGATGCCCACCATATCCTCATGCTTGCAAGTAAAGACGTCAAGGTTCTTCCATAGGAAGTCTTTAGGTTCTTCATTAATTTTTGCGAGCAAACATTTCCCTACCTGTAACAATTTGGTAGGAACTAAAAGAACCACCTGGAAATTTTCTAGCTCTTCTACAGGTATTGTTTGGGGCTCAATTTCAATGGCACAAGATCTAACTCATCCAATATGAACATTTCTTTTGGGGGTCCTCCATCTCGACCACCTCTTGTTCGGAACCCTGCCTGCCTGGGACATCTAACATAACCATGTCTATAATCATTACATTGATATCCCTAGGTATACTTTCTAATCAAGTTCAAATAACACTATCGAGCACCTCTTTGATCACCTCCAATCATCGTTATCCCCTAGTCAGTCAGAAATTTCATGCATAGGTAGTAGACAAAGGTGACGGCTCTCAAATCCTTTAGAGCAGGTCTTCCTAACATCCTATGATAAGCTAACCTATTCTCCGCTCTCAAGAATTTCATTAAGTTCAAACTTGCTTGGGGTTGCTATCCTATTTCCATCGCAAGCATTATTTTTTCCCTTAGAGTGATGCTGTCTGTGGAGAAGCCGTATAAGGGGTGGTGATAGGAATTAGCTCACGATCCACAATCATTTTATCAAAAGTAGCTCCAAAAAAACGTTGATATAGCTGCTATTATCGATGAGCATTGGATTTAGCTGATTTCGGGCCACCACCACCCTTACAACAAGGGCGTCGTAGTGAGGGAATGGGTATCCTCTGCGTCTTCCTGAGTGAATACAACTGACAGTACTTGACTTTTTTTGAAACTTTAATCCACTATGTAACTGGTCAATTAGGGGCCCTCGACCACTTTGGCATTGTTCTTTCAAGAATTCTTGTTTCGCCTCCAGCATAGAGGCCTCCAAAGGTAGTGTCGATTTCATTGATGGAGGCATCTCCCGCATTAGCTTGGTAGCCCCTACGCTATCGCTGCTCTTTCGACCTTTCGGCTTCACCTTCTCTTCTCCACCGGGGAATTCTTCTCAACTGTGAGATGTGGCGTCCTCACACCTAGCAGGCTAATCCTACCATATTGGGGGCCTATTCCTTTGAGGAGAATCATTCCTTCGATTGTTTTGTGGAGAGTTGGGCGATGTCTCTGTAATATGTCGTTGCATGTCATAAGAATGATGGTATGTGCAATATTTCGAGGGGGTTCGACCTATCTCTAGGTCTCAATCCTTGCCATTGACCTCTTCCCATTCGGGTAAAGTGGGCTATTCTTTTGGTCCTGGTCGTTAAATGTTGGCTTCAAAAGTAATACCTTCACAGACCAACGTGGGCACTGTATTCAAAGTGGCTACAGTAAGTGCCTTATCCCGAGTTGGGAACAATTACACTACCAACCTGGTTCTACTGGTGGTCTATAGGTGAGAGATGGGTCATCTCCCATATTGCCTTTATTAAGGTTGAAGACCTGTATTGACTCTATTTCTGTGATCAATCAATTTCTCATTGATGATCTCCCGCCTCATCATTTCTAGTAATGCATCGTAAGTGATTAGGTCTTTGTTTTGCACATCCCTCCAAAATAGAGTATTCATGTTTAGACCTCTTTGCAATGCCGATAGGGCTTCACGATCAGTGAATTGTACACAACACATTATTTCATTAGTGAATTGAGAAAAAAGGCTTTTCAAACTTTTCCCAGGTTGTTGTCTCATGTCCTGGAGGTGTTGAATGGAAACCTCTCCCTCTTTGCTTACAGAAAACCTTTTCGGCCAGGTCTTACTACTCTTAGGAGGTAGCCTGTATACCAAATCTCTGCCACTCCACTTAAGGTCAAGTGAAAGGCTTTACATTTCACAGCTAGGGTGGCGCCTCACAAGTTCATATGAGTATTTATAGCAATTCAAATGTTAAACCGGGTTGGCTCTACCGTTATACTTTGGTATTTTAAGCATCATATAATGGCTTGACACTGGAGCATTCCTCAATTCTTATGAAAAGGGAAAATTTTCGTCATTATCATCAAGGTCACAAAATTGCTGGGGTTCATCTAATTCATCGTCATCATCAACTTGATACCTCGATGGTGGATTGGATGGGCCCGCTTGATTCCCAACCACCTTGAGTCGTAGATGGTGGGGGTTGTGGCCTATTCCGTGGTTCCGAAGGTTGCTGAGGCTATCTGTGCCTCGGTTTTACTGGGTTAATTCTATCAAATACACTGTTGGACTATCTAGGCCTACTTTTTGATTCATATTCTAGTGGGAAATTGCCTTCCATGCTAAATGGGGCCTCGATGGGTCAGCCGAAGGTATAGTTGGAGAAAATATCAACTCTTGCTTCTCTTTCCATGGGACTAATTCCCCTGGTATGTATCAAAGATGGGGCCATTTGGCCCTGCACTACGTCCTGTTGTGGATATTTTTCTTCAGGTGCATAGGGAGGCATTGGCTAACCTCCTTGGCCATGCATTTACATCAATAGTTCTTGCATGACCAAGTTTTGATTGGTGATATTTCTCATATGAGCTGCCATGATAGCTACCTCCCTAGTAAGTTGTGCAGTCATTTGCATCCTATGGCGCCTGTGATGGTGGTGGCTGGAGAAGCTGCCAGTGGGGCTTCATTTGTATTTTTATTCTCTCCTTGGAGGAATGTCACAGTCAAAACTCATTTTTGTCAATCTAAAGTACTCAAATTTTATCCAACTTTTTGAGAGTCCTCTTGTTATTTTCCAAGAACAAATCATTTTTTAAGGAGGATGCCTAGGTTTAATAGCAAGCTTTTTCCACATGAATGCTCATAGTTGTAGCATTGAATTTTCACAGATGGTACGGATCTGTTGACCTCGATTTCCATGTGAAGCAAATGCCGAACCTGCTTGCGTACACGTGAGGACAAGTTGTAAGTTGTCAATATTACGAAAATGAGGACGTAGGAGAAACTCAACGACTCAAGACAAATGTGGCGGTGGATTTGTAGAGAGATTGTATACCGATCACCAATCGCAAACAACTTAATCAAAGCTAAATAATTTAAACCTACTGTTAAATAAAGTACAATCAGTAGAAGATGAGCCAAAGAATAGCTTTTAGTGTCAAGAATTGTATTAGCCTTCAAATGTTACATGAAGAGGGTATTTATAGCATTACAAACAATCTGGTGGCCATTGGATGAAAGTACACGTGGCCTCATCTCCTTAGTCGAAACATCTAATCTTAGGCATCAAATTAGACTTTCTAGCCTGTGGTGCATTTAATGCTTACATAGAATAGCCACTTTATTGACTAGACTTGACATTTATACTCATCAAAACATCTCATCTATCATTTCAAAAAGATTTCATACATAAGTTCAGGATTTTTTTCTTGTGGAGCTTCCTCAACTCAACACCTCGACTTCGCTGAAGAGATATGAATGACCATAGGAATAATGTCCCAGGTCTCGTCACTTGTGTGTGAAGTTTCGTTGGAGGTGGTTCCAATACTTGGAGTGGATTGGCTAGCCCAATGGTTGATCAAAGGGCCTCTGTGGGTCGGCCACGTGGATAAGAGGACTCCGGGAACATGGGTAAATTGTGGAGCCACGCGTGACAAGGCGTAACAAAATAATTTTTGAATCTTGCTCCATGTATAGGGGCTAGTTGATAATATTTTTAACAGATTGTCAGTTATGAAGATTTAATTAGATATTGGACAAAAAACACAATTCAACCAACTAATGCAATATTGTCACCCGTAAATCTATAAAAATCTGTAAATTTAACTGTATTATGAGCTTAAATCATGGTTTTATCTATTTATTTATTTATTTTTGGTTGGATTAATCTGCTATGCCAAAGAGATCATCCAAAAAAGTAGTGCCAGAAAGTTACGTGGTGGGAGATGATTGGATGGAAGAGGTGATTGTGCTTATAAACCTGCTTAACAAAGTATGATGTATATGTAACATAATCTTTTTTTATTTGCCTGGAATATGTAGAATTTGAGACATTCCACCCTACCCCATCCAACCTAACCCTATCTCCTTTTCTCCTACGCTTATATATGAAAAAAAACTCCACAGGACAAATACAACGTCTACTTTAACAAAGTCACAAGTCACAACGGCACTCAACTATGCAAAAACAACAAACAACTCATTTCAAGATCTTGGTTCCAGTTTTCTTTCTTGGCATTTCCCCGTGGCCTTTTTCTTTCTGTCGTCCATTCTGTCTTCTCTCTCTCTCTCTCTCTCTCTCTCTCTAAAACCCTTATCTTTTCTCTCTACAAGTCCCCATTCACATCTCTTCTCTCTCAACTCATAGAATTTTCTGGTTCTGAGTTCCGTGGGAGAAAATGGAGGAATTCATTGGAGGCAAGAAGTTCGATCTGGCGGATCAAACAGAGAAAAGGCCCGAGTTCTGTATCAATGACAATATGGATGTTCTCATAGAGATATTGAAGAGACTTGATGATCGGACACTAGGCGTGGCTGCGTGTGTTTGCAGGATGTGGTGCTCGTTAACTCGGAACGAGTCGCTATGGGAACACCTGTGCTTCCGCCAACTGTCACCACCACCCGAGGGTGTGCGGGCAGTCGTGGCGGCGTTAGGTGGGTATCGAAGACTGTACATGGGCTGTGTGAAGCCTGTACGAGAGCTAAGTGTGGTACGTGAGTTGGACAGAGTCTGGACTCGGCATGAGGTGGAACTCTCCCTATCTTTGTTCTGTGTGGACTATTATGAAAGGGTTTTGCTTGGTGATGGTGGCAGACTCGGTGGTGACTCGGCACCCTCCGCCTCCTCGCTCATTCTCCTTTGCAAAGAGATGAACGTGTGATTAGACGGACCAAGAGCATGTTATAAGGAGGAGGTTGAAAAAGTATGAGCAATTTTAATAATGATTTGAATTTGTATTGCCATTTTTACTATAACATTCATTCAAAAATAAATAAATATATCTTTTTTGTGATTATGTGAATTACTTACTAACAGATAGAAACAATTAATGTTTCTTTAATATGTTGGAAATAGTATTGACAATGAGATGGGCTTCTCCATCTCCTGCTATGTCGCAGGTAATTTTCAAGAGGCAGGGTGAGGATTATGTTCCTCATATTAGGGATGGAATATTTTGTCATCCTAAATTGAAAAATAAATAATTTTGTGAAGTGTGAATCGGTGACCTTTATAGTTCAGCACTTAAGTCTTAAATAGATAGCTTCTGTCCATTTAACGATTGTAAACTCAAATTGGTAAACACTGTTAGGAAATATGTAATTGGCAAATCTGTGACCAAGGACCAAAATGTAATAATTGTAAAGTCAAGGATTAAAATGTCATAATTGTAAGGTCAAGGACCAAAGTGTCAAATGTCCAATAGTTCAAGGACTTGAGTTGCAATTAATCAAAGTGTTGAAGGCTAGGTCTAGGGTTGTGATGGATGCCTCGAAGTTGCAAACGGCGCGAGATTTCGCTAGAGTCACGCCACGATCTCGCTCGAGCCACGATTGCAGAACCACTGTCGTTAGAGCCTCGCCAGCAGGTCGCTCGAGTCACGCTGGTCCCTCGCTCGAGCGACCTATTTATCTGGGCAACATTAAATTTAAAAGCTCGCGAATTTTTGACACGCCACAAGACCATATGTTGAGCCATATAAATACCATTCGTCTCCTTCGAGTTGAACATAGAGGAAATACACATTGAAGCCATATTATTGATTCTCTCTAAAATCCTTGAAGATCAAAATCCTCGAAAAGCAAAAACATCACACCCTGAAACACCAAAACACCACCTT